ACCCGTCAGCCCATGATAGCACCAGTGTCTGGAAACATGACTCCTAGCAGCAGCTACAGTCCGCACGTTAGTACCTTGGGTGATGTGTTTATTCTTTCTGTACTGTAGCTGCCAAGAACTACGAGCGTCCTTAGAGTTTAGGGATCGACGCTAAGGGCTCTTTGGAAACCAGAAGATCTCAGTGGTAGCAGTGGAGGCTGGGTATATTGTAGCATGAAAGGAGAGAGGGTGTGTGGCCCCATTGTGGCCCCAGTCAGGACTTCTGGTCCCTTCCCTCCTGTACCTCAGCTCCACACTGCTTTAGGTTTGTTTGTTTGAGACAGGGTTTCATTCTGTAGCCCAGGCCGACCTTGAACTCTGGGCGATCCTTCTGCCTTCCAAGAGCTTGGATGACAGGTGTGAGTCTCCACTTCTGCACTCCTCTCAGCTCCTTTCAGGTCACCTGGCAGGTCTGCAGGTGTGGGCACCCGAGTGCTGACTGGCCTGACTCCCCATTTCTCTGCCTGTCTCAGTGTCGCATGCACAGGCCACGGCCGCCACCAGCCTCGACTGGGCTCCAGTTTTGCCACTGTGGAGTGTGGCAGGTCGTGCTTGGTCCGGTCACTTCTGCCCCTTGGTCACCTCTGCCCTCATCTGCCTTTGTAAGGGTGACAGAGATTCCCAGATGAGATGCTCTCCTGTGTCGCTGTGCTGTCCATCCCAAGGCCACCTGTGAGGCGGACTCTGCTGACTGTGGCGTCTAGACGCCCCGCCATGCTCTAAGGTCTGACCTCGAGGCCCTGTGCGCCTGCCTGTCTCTTCCTCCCCTGCCTGCCCTGGCGTCGGGAGAGCAGTGCAGCTGGCTCCCTCCTTGTCTAAGGAGCCACAGGAACTGGGGTGAGGGGGGGGGGGAGAGACGATTTACCCTGCTTCCTGTTACTCTCTGCTCACCCCAGACCTTAGGCATATATTTGGGGGAGGGCAAGGGCTAACCCGGAGGAGCAGCCCTTGGTGACTTGGCCTCCGACCAGAACCACCCCTCCTCCAGCTCCACCTAGTCTGCACCAGTTCCTAGGGTCTTGTCTCCTGGCAGCACCTCCGCAGATGTGCCCACGCTGCAGATGTGCCCAGCTGCAGATGTGCCCAGCTGCAGATGAGCCCACTCTGCAGATGTGCCCACTCTGCAGATGTGCCCAGGCTGCAGATGTGCCCAGCTGCAGATGTGCCCAGCTGCAGATGTGCCCAGCTGCAGATGTGCCCACTCACTTTCCTTCCTAAGATAATCCGCGCCAACTTCAAGAGATAATAAGAACCTCATTAGGTCTAAGAGCTGAGGTAACTGAACTCATACATGGTAGCGGGTGTGGGCTTAACTCACACTCCCGCTTCCCCGGGGCCTGGTTCCAGCTGCTCTCGATCTCCTCACTGTGAGCACAGAGTCACCGAGGGACAGTCTGCAGACTCTGCTCACCTGCACCATGTAGAAGCCCCTTACCTATAGCTGGAAAAGCAAGTGAAGATAATTCTAGAACATTGTTTCTATGGAGTCCTCACTTTAGGATATATGAGGTTCAGGGTCTATGATGGCTTGGAAGTAAAGAAGGTGAAAACAGTGCTTCGAGCAATGTTGAGAACAGAAAGGGAACTGTCTCCAGAGTGCCCGTGGACTCATCTTTATACTGTGTACCAAATGCTGTTTCATATTTGATGCACAGTACCTCCCCCAAACCCCGAAATGTTGGTGAGAATGTATGCTACCAGGGTGTTTTCTCCAAGCCACAGACCTCTGTAGATGGAGTAATGTGGCTGACAGAGGCCTTCCCTCTGAGGGGCCGCCATGTTGATGGAGGCCTTTGGCAGGGAGCAGCAGTGGCCCACAGCTCAGGACAGCCTCCATTGCTGGTCCCTGGAGGCTCAGCATTGAAGAGCGATGGTGTTATTTCAACTCCACGTGGTGGCTCCCTCCTTCCCAGAATCCCAGCGTGGACGGCAGAGGCTGCTGTGGCTTCCAGGCCAAAACTGATTTCCTGGTCTAATAATGAGACAATAGCTTTAAAAATAATGAAAACAAGATGAAAAGAGTACATTCCATCACGAGCACTTACATTATCACTAGATTTATCTCCATCGGGATTGGCTGTGTCGTTTTCCAGAAAGGACCCAAATCAAAGATTGATTGGCCCCGTTTTCTTCCACAAGAACAGCTTTGCTGTGTGTCGTTAGTTACTGTATCAAGAACAGCGTGTTTGTCATCTTGGCTCTGAATGCTCACCCTCTTCTTCCACCATCGGAAGCATTGTGAGCATCACCGGATGGAGTTGGTGGCATGCGGCCACCTCCACACTCATCTTAAGCCGGTATCAGGGAAACACTGGATTGTGACCTCCACCCCAGGAGCGCGCTCTGTGCTTCTGAAATGAGTGCTAGACATTGGTCCTTAGAAAGCTCACACCTTGTTTTGTGTCTGAGACAGAGATGGTGCCACCCAACCTACATGGAGTCAGGAGGCTCTGTGCAGCAGGACGGATCAGCCCAGAGAAAGGTTCCCAGTCACAGGCACACGCATGTAATCTGTAGGCTCAGGAAGCCACGTGCCTCTCCCGAAGCTCCTGGCCTCTCTGCCCAGGTTTGTTTCTCTGATCCCAGGCAGGTGGAAGTCACAGACAGTGAGGAAGACTGATGGCATCTCACTGACCCTAAAGCTTTGACCAAGTGCAGTTAATTAGCCAGGGGCTGGTCACAGTCGGCCCAGTCAGGAGTGAGCAGGGCAATGCCAGTGTACTGTGGACCTGGGAGACAGTGTGGTCACATGACTCAGAACTCAGAGCAGAACATGGAAACGGGTCATTAAAATGGGAGGGTGGCTTCAGACAAGGCTTGTGTCTCAAAGGTTTTCTGAGTCTGGCCAACCTGAGTGTGGCAGTATAAAGGGACAAGGTAAGCAGGGTTGAGAGAAGACTCCAGAAGGAAGAGAGTGCTCTGTGTGACTTAAAAGCAGTGCGTTTCAAAAGTTGGGCCTGTAGATGATTGCCTAGGAAAACTCAAAGTCACAAAGTTGGGCCAAGGTGTAGATGCCCAAGTGGAGGAGATTGAGAGAAACAGAGTATAAAGTTCTGTTGGCGAAATCTCGCCAAGCCTGAAGCTGCCCCCCAGGCCTCCTGGGACAGACACCAAAGCACAACAAGCGTTTGTGGGATAGAGGAGGTGACCCTGGGAGCTCTGAGGTTGATGCTGCTCCCTGGTCGCTATCCCTTCCTGACACAGATGCGACAGTCCCCAGGAACCCAGCGACAGATGCCTGCTGTTCTGCAGGTCGAGGCTTACAGCACACCTCAGGCCCTCAGCTCTTGCCCACCTGTCCCTGACCACCCTTTACTGGTTTTGCTGTCAGTGGGTTGCCACTTTCTGCACTTCATGCCCTTCTTTACTACGCTCACGGCCTCCTCCCTCCTCTGTGAGGTAGACTCCATCATGGCAGGATTTGGGTTGGCTTCCCCGCCTGTCTTTATTCCCTGACACCAGCCAGGGACACTTTGGGTGCACTGAATATCTGTTGCAAAGACTAAAATCATTCTAAATGCAACACAGACGGGATCCTGGAGCTGGAAAAGACATCATTGGCACCTGGTAAAGTTTTCACAAGGCCTTCACTTGGTCACTATCTGTTCTGATGGCATTGGTGTGCTCAGCTAAGGCGCTGACCTGGGCCGAGAGGTGACTGGTGTGGCTTGCTTGCAGGAGGCTGGAGGCTCAGTTCTTGGTCCAGGCAGGAAGCCTGTTTCGAAGGATTAGCCCTGGGAATTCAAAGATGCTTTGGCTTTTAGAAAGGACTACACTTCCATCCAGTTCTACCTTCGCAGAGGTCCTCTATTTAAAGCAGGCACAGCCCCAGGGCTGCCCTCCAGCACTTGCCTCAGTTTCCCCGTTCTTTCTGATTTACTGACCATGCTGCTGCCTCAGGTCCGTGTCTGTGAGGACGAGGGGTCCTGTTCTTCAGTCTCCCTCTAGTTCCCAGAGCACCATCTGGCACAAAATAGACTTTCGTTAGCTCCCAAATATGATTCATGCTTGAAAATAGAGCTAACTGTGTATACGAGAGAGGATGGGGAGGGGCGTGGGGGAGGGGCGGGGCAGGTCTACCAGTGCCTGCTCAGCTGGCACACCTCCTGCTTCTGGCATTGCCTGGAGCTGGGGCTGTAGTATGGGAACGAGAATTCTAGAAGCATTTGTGTTCAATGAGTGTGTGTGTGAATCCCCCCCAGGGTGTCACCCCACTTCACACCAGTCCTGGACTTAAACATTGTCTCTTCCGTTGAATTCCGTGAGATGTAATAACTCACTATCATTGATGGCTTTAGCTTTTAAGAAAGAAATGACAAAGTGGCACCAGGAAAGCTGTTATGTTTGTGATGCTCTGGCCCTTAGAAGCAGCCTTTCATGAAACTGGGCGGTGATGGCGCATGCCTTGAATCCCAGCCCTCGGGAGGCAGAGACAGTTGGATCTCTGAGTTCCAGGCCAGCCTGGTCTACAGAGAAGAGTTCCAGGACAGCCAGGGCTACACAGAGAAACCCGGTCTCTCTCTCTCTCTCTAAGTATATATAAAATGATGGCCTTACATGCACACACTCCCGGGACCTGGGTTATCCTGCTCTGTGATGTTGCATGCTAAGGAAGTCAAGTCCCCCGAGAGCTCACACATAGCAGGTTCCAGCAGGGTGAGACCATCACATCCAACATGACTGTACATATGACATGGCTTGAGTGGCAGGTAACAGAATTGCTGTCATACATGGTGCCCACACTTGATGTCTAGTGCCTCCGATGCCACCTACCTGAAGCAGAGGCTTGGTGCTCTCTCTCTCGGCTCTTGGGCTGGGAATGCAGGCCCCGTGCCTCCTGGGATTCTAGGAGGAAGGACATGACAGTCCAGACAGGGAATCCTTCAGCCTCGTTTGGAGAATGATGGAGACGTGGTTGTCTCAAGGATGATGTAATGGTGTTTCTGTCTGTTCTATTGCAGGAGCATCAGGAAAGCATTCTGGGTAATACCATGCAGAGTGTGATCGCGTTACTCAACAATCTGGTTGCTTACAAAGACTCAAACATGCAGCTGCTTTATGAGCAAGGTAAGCTGGGAATTGAACCTGGGCCCCTTGAAGAGCAGCCAGTGCTCTAACCAGCTGGAGTTGTTGGGCCAGCCCCTAGTGGATGGTTATTAGGCTTGGTCTCAAAGGTAAGCCATGGACTCAGATTATCAATTGCAGTTGTGATATTTCACTCCAGATGTCGGAGCTCTGCTTCTTCGTGGCTTCTGTGCTCAAGTGTTTCTTGTAGCTTGAGTTTTCCTGCCTTGCCCACAGTCAGGACAAATCTCTGTCACCCGCCAGTCCCACAGCCGCTCAGACCCAACCAAGTAAACACAGAGACTTATATTGCTTACAAACTGTATGGCCGTGGCAGGCTTCTTGTTAACTATTCTTATAGCTTAAATTAATCCATTTCTATAAATCTATACCTTGCCATGTGGCTGGTGGCTTACTGGCGTCTTCACATGCTGCTGGTCATGGCGGTGGCTGCATTGTCTCTCCGCCTCCGCCTTCTGCTTCCCAGAATTCTCCTCTCTCTTTATCCCACCTACTTCCTGCCTGGCCACTGGCCAACCAGTGTTTTATTTATTGACCAATCAGAGCAATTTGACATATAGACCGTCCCACAGCAGTTTCTAGTATTTTTTCCCGTCCTAAGGAAAATACGCATCACCCTCTAATAAGAAATATCAGCAAAGTTGTGGGGCTTGGGTTCGTGGCCTTGTCAGCTCCTCACCTTACCCTGTCTGTGGACACAGCTCCGTCTGTAGTGTAGGCTATCTCCAGAGTGAGGCAGCTTCAGATGAAACAGCAGACAAAGGAACTGAAGAGGAGAGAGGATCTGGGCTTCAGGTCACTCGAGGAAAGGCTCCTCACTCAGGGTGGTGGCCGCCGACCTGGACTTTCAGTCGTCTTACTGTCCCAGCTGCGGGTGGTGAAGGTGACCCAGACCCTGCAGCTCCTGCTACAGCAAGAGTAGAGGCAAGGGGATGAGGGGTCTGGGTGCCCTGCAGGGGTGGGGTGGGGGTGCTCTGCAGGGGCGGGGTGGGGGTGCTCTGCAGGGGCGGGGGGGGGGTGCTCTGCAGGGGCGGGGGGGGGGTGCTCTGCAGGGGCGGGGGGGGGGTGCTCTGCAGGGGCGGGGTGGGGGTGCTCTGCAGGGGCCGGGTGGGGGTGCTCTGCAGGGGCGGGGTGGGGGTGCTCTGCAGGGGCGGGGTGGGGGTGTACGGGCTGGGGGTGCGCGGGCTGGGGGTGTCGTGGGGCCAGGGCCTGGGTGTTTGGGGACAGAGGTCTGGAACTTGAGGAGCCATCTGACCCCAAAGACCTGAGCAGCACTCATAGCTAAGGACGAACTTGAACTCCTGACCCTTCCACCTCCACACTGAAGGGCTGGGATTTCAGGTGTACAGTTGCCACTGGGTTTGAATGTTGTGTAACTCAGTGGTTTTGCTATGGGTTTTTTTTTTCCCCCTTAAACACTTTCATTTTAAATGAAATATTTAGGGAGAGAATTATTATAAAACAAAGTAGGACTGTTTGCTTATATTTGAGAAATATCAGCGTTATTAACATTTTGGAGCTGACTTTGGGCTCATCCCTGCGCCGTGGCATTTCTGTAATGGATCTGAACGCCAGCTTGCCTTTCCCAGCAGAGCTCTGAGGGTAATAGATTTACACAACACAGCACAATGCCACCAAAGCAGAAATCAAAACAGAGACGAAACAGAGTACCGCCAAAGAATCATTTAAAGAAATTCTTTGTCTTCAATGGTTCACGGAGTGTCAGAAATCAAAACACTGATTATTTTTTTTAAGTCAGGTTTATATTAATCTGTCTAAATCAGTGTTTACTCAAGAGGCCAGAAAATCACTGCGTGAGTTGTTTGTGCTGTGAAAATAAAGAGACCCCACGCATGACAGCCTTCTTAGCCTCCTTTAAGAATAGTATTCAAAGCTGGGTGGCACATGGCTGTCATCCCCGCACTTCGGAGGTCCAGGCCAGCCTCAGCTGCATAGTGAGTTCCAGGCTAGCCTGGGCTACATGAATCCCTGTTTCAAAAAGGACACACACTAGGTTGGCAGACCTGTTCCCAGAAGATACAGTAAGTGGCACTTGGGGGACACAAATAGCCTTTGCCAGGTGGCTTTGGCTGGCCTCTAGCCTGCAGCAATCCTCCTGCCTCAGCCTCTTTAGGTCTGGGATTTCAGATTGTCCACCAGGCCTGGTTTAGTGTAACTTTTTAAACTGTTTTATTTTTAATTATGTAAGTGTCCATCCGTCTGTCTGTGTCTGTGTGCACATGAGTGCAGGTGTCTCTGATGTCAGAGGTACTTGCTGCCCTGGAGCTGGAGTTGAAGCTGATGTGAGCTGCTTGGTGCGGGTGCTGGGAACTGAACTCAGGTTCTCTGCAAGAGCAGCATGTGCGCTAGCTTGAGCCACTGAGCCGTCTCCAGTCTCTACTCATTCTGTAGTGAGTAACTGCCATGCACATGTTTCACCTGGTGATGGCGCTCCAGTAGGAAGCTGCAGTTGTTTTCTGACTGGTCTCCAGGGCCAGGCATTGTCTTTCCTTGGTGTTTAGAAAAACCTGAGAAAATCCTTTAGTGTTCTAAAATGTGTTCTCTGGAAGCTTCTAGAAGCCTTAGCTACGCAGATGTGTTAAAAGTTTAATCACCAGGCTGGGACAGTTTCTGAAGGGAGCAGTGAGTCTGGCTAAGAGGCCGCGTCTCCACAGCCATGTACACAGCATAGATCCTGTGTCCAGGCTCCCTGGCCGCGAACTGGCGGAACAGCAAGGGCTGGCGTGAAGACCACTGGCATTCACATCTCAGCCCTGCCATCATCACTTGTAAACCTGAAATGTCTACTTTGTGTCTCTGCCTCTGTTTTCTCACCTCTGTCATGGGGATGATGACAGCGCACTCACCCTTCTGGAGGGTTAAGCTGTTAGATGGGTGTGAACCACTGGGAGGGGCCAGTGAGTAGAAAACCCAATAGAAGCCATCACTTTTCCACAAGCTGGTCAGACTCCCCGAGGGGAATTTATACTCTCCTTCTTCTCCCTGACGCTTCACACCTGGAGAACTTAGACATTTCCTGGACTCAGTCCTTCTGACACCCTGTGGGCATGGGAGTAGGATGAAGAGCTGTGGGTGTGGGCATGTGCCACACACTGTATGCGAGGCTGTGCACACGGACAGGGTTAGCGAGGTCCGTCCCGACCCTGTGTCCTGCCTCTCACCCATTTGGCTGGCACTCTCCAGTGTGGTCCTAGCCCTTCATCCTCCAGGTGTGGTCTCGTTTCAGGAGGAAGGACTTCCCACTTGGTCTCCATTTTGTGCTCAGCTCTGATCCCGAGTATTCTGCAGCTCAAGGGAGACTGGATGGCCGTAAGGGACCATCTGGGGGCTGCGGAATCCACTGATCACCTCTGCTGTTCTCTGAGCTGCTTGTTTGGCCGTTGGCTTCCTTCCAGGGTCTGTCCCAGGCATCACTGTGAAAATCTGTTCAGGGGAAAGGGACAGTTGGGGAGGGGAGGTGGCCTTTGGACTGAGGTGAACCTCCCCTCTAAGGTAACACCGGTGGGATGTGTTCATAGTCTGTGTAGTTCACCCACGTGGCAGTGCAGGTGTGCCGACCCTGCCCTCCCTTCCTCAGCAGTGAAGCCCTCCCCTCCCCACCCCGTACCGTTATTGAGAACCTACTGTGCACTGAAGACCGTCAGGATTTATAACGGCTGCCATGTTCCTCTCTCGACCCTTCTCACCCGGCTTTGCCAGTTCTCACCCAGGTGGCTGGGATGTCCCCATCCACGTCTGGGAGCCGAAACATTTCATGCAGTGGCCTCCTCTCATTTTGTCTATTTCGAAGTAGCAACAGCAACCTGTCAATCAACAAACGTGTGTTTCCTTCTTTATTGTTTCATGACATTTGTGTGGCTTCCTGCTGCCCACTTCCTCGGTGTTTAGCCAGGTTCTTCGGGTCTCCAGTGTTTTAACACAGCAAAGTCATCTTACCAGCCACCCAAAGCTTCTCAAGGAAATCTAACAAGCTTCCTCCTCCCTCTTCTGTGTGTGTTTTTTGTTTTTGTTTTTGTTTTGTTTTTAATTTGAGACAAGGTCTCACTGTGTAGCTCTGGCTGTCCTGGAATTCACTGTGTAGATCAGGCTGGCTTTGAACTCATAGAAATCCACTTGCCTCTGCCTCCTGAGTACTGAGATTAAAGCTGTGTGCCACTGTACCTGGCCTGGAATAGATTTGGAAACATGAAAATTGGCAAGGGAAATACTCAACAGAGAGTGAGTGGGAGACACTGGGGGAAGACTCGGGCAGCTGTGCCTTCAGTGGTCTCAGGAGCTACCGAAGGGTGTGTATCCACGAGTTCAGGAAACACTGGAGATGCTCACATGCTCATCGGAGAAGGCAGCATGGCCTGGTGGGTGGAGTAGGTTTGAATCTGGTGTCTGCAGCTTTACTCCCTGAGACGCTCCGAGACTCATCTCTCTAGAGATAATGTGCCACTTCCAAATGTTTGTTTTGAAAGTCAAATGATAATATATGTAAATTTTCCATGCATAATCACTGGAATTAGCATAAGTATTTAAAGGTAAGTAGTAAAAGCCAGTGAGCCTGTGAGCTTGGCATATGACCATGTGGAGGAGGGAAGGGAAGCTGCAGCTGAGTAGTTATTGGAAACAGTGTCGTCTCCAGTTCTAATAGAGATAGCCCTTACCAACCCTCAAAGAGGAGACAGAGTCATCTCCAGTTCTAATTGAGATAACCTTTACCAACCCTCAAAGAGGAGACAGAGTCATCTCCAGTTCTAATTGAGATAGCCTTTACCAACCCTCAAAGAGGAGATAGAGTCATCTCCGGTTCTAATTGAGATAGCCTTTACCAACCCTCAAAGAGGAGACAGACTCATCTCCAGTTCTAACTGAGATAGCCTTTACCAACCCTTAAAGAGGAGACAGAGTCATCTCCGGTTCTAATTGAGATAGCCTTTACCAACCCT